TGGGGGTGGGGGGGATTAGCAAATCCACCACAGCACAGCTGTTTCAAGGTGAAAATAAGGGAAATTTAGAAAGAGATGAAGGTAGCAAGGTCCGAGCTCTGCACAGTTAGTGAGGATAAAATCAAGGGGAAGATGATTGTGAAGGCATCTGAGGCCCAGACCCACAGGAAAACAAGCACAAACCTCAAATATGCTTTGTATTGTATAAAAGCTTTCTGACCTTTGTTTTTTGGTAATGTTTTTAACCCTAAAACATTAATCTCATCTGCTTCTGTGACAGAAGGGGAAGAAAATCCCAGTGTTTAGCAAGTTATTTTAAACCCTTCGGTTTAAAATTGCTCATGAAGTTGCAGTCTTAAACATTTGAAACTTAAAGAGATGATGTGTGTAAAACACCCCCTTCCCTCACCTTTCCACATTTTCGGCCCATTTAACCCCTCCATGCCCAGTGCAGGCTATATCCTTAAAAATCCAAGAGTCAGACTAGAAGGCATGGGCAGCATGTTGGGGAGGAGGGTGGAGGCAGGGGACAGGGGAGGAGGAGGCCAAGGTCGTCCAAGTCACTCCTGGGTGTCCACCAAGCAGGTGGGCTCCTGGTGGGACTAGGGACCCCGTGCCCACCCTGTACGATCTCAGAGGAAATGGTGGCGTTCCTTGGCTTCTAGATGCATCACTCCAGGCACATGGCTACCTTCTCCCTGTGTCCTTACATCATCATCTGTGCATGTCTGTCTCTGTCCAGACTTCCCCTTTATATGACCCCAGTCCTATTGGATTCAGGCCCACCCTGATGACCTCATCTTACATTGATCACCTCTGTAAAGACCCTGTCTCCAGAGAAGGTCACATACGGAGGTCCTGGGGGTTAGGACTTCAACATATCTTTTTCAGGGACACAATTCAACCCATAACAAACCCTTCAGGGTTTGTCACTGAGTCTTCTCAAGTTCTTCCCCAAAACAGTGCATGAGGGTGGGGGTGTTTAATGTTTTGCCCCTCACTGAGTTCCCTTCCGTGGATTTCAAGGAGGAGGAGACTGAGCAAGCTGTCTGTTTGGCCTAGAAGGATATACCCTGCTTGACAGGTATGACAGAGGCCTTTAGTGTGACAGAAGCCAACAGGACGGCTGCATAATTTGTGGGGCCCAGGACAAAATGGAAATGTGGAGCTCCTTCAAAAAATATTAAGAGGGGTTGCCGGGTGGCTGAGTTGGTGAGAGCGCATGCTGTTAACAAGGTTGCCAGTTCGACTCCTTCATGGGATGGTGGGCTGCGCCCCTGCAACTAGAGTGAAAACGGCGACCGGATTTGGAGCTGAGCTGCGCCCTCCGCAACTAGATTGAAGGCCAACAACTTGAGTTGGAGCTGATGGGTCCTGGGAAAACACACTGTTCCCCAATAAAATTTCTAAACAAACAAACAAAAAAAAAAGTATTAAGAATGTCAGATAA